CATGAAATAAACAAGATTTTAAAGCTAATTTATTCAAAATTTAGCGTGCTAAAATTCATTTTTATATTCCCATTGATTTTATTATTATGATTTTTTGAATAAACCCATAAATTAGTAAAGTCAAATAGATTAGATTAAAATTACAAAAAATCATATCACAAAAACTAATTCAGATATCATTAAGAAATAAATAAGATTTAAAAGCATATTTATTCAAGATTTAATGTGTTAAAATTCACTTTCTTTTCCCATTAATTTTATTGTTACGATTTAGTGCCCATAAATTGAGTTTGAATCATTATTATTAAAACATTCTTCAGTTCAAGATCATTCGTTGTTATTGATTATTACTACTACGTGATTAATTTACGTTTATCGAAATTTCAATTTTATTTGTAACGGAATTTCCCAACTTTATCGATAATGATTAAGTAACTTGAGTAATTTGAACAGATTTTGCAACGTTTCGATAAATCGAAACGAATATTATTTTTAATCTAAATAATTTTTATATTTTCTAGGTGCTTTAGCCGACACTTTACAAGATAAAACGATAATACCTTACGGTGAAATTCCAAATTTTCCCGTAAGTACAGTCGAAGGTCACGCAGGTCAATTAGTTTTTGGAGCATGTTCCGGAACTTACGTAGTTTGCATGCAAGGTCGTTTCCATCATTACGAGGGTTACCCATTATGGAAATGCGCGATGCCAATTCGCGTTATGAAATTAATCGGGGTTGAATTTCTGATTGCAACAAACGCGGCCGGCGGAATCAACCCGGCTTTCAACGAAGGCGACGTCATGTTGATTAAGGATCACATCAACATGATGGGATTCGCCGGAAATAACCCGTTACAAGGCCCGAACGAATCGCGTTTTGGACCTAGATTCCCACCGATGTGCAAAGCTTACGATCGCGATTTAATCGAGAAAGCGAAAGATATTTGGAAAAATCAACAATTCGATGGGAGGTTGTTTGAAGGTGTTTATACGTGTTTGGGGGGGCCAAACTTTGAGACAGTGGCCGAATTAAGAATGTTAAAATTGTTGGGTGTTGATGCCGTTGGAATGTCAACTGTTCACGAAGTTTTAACAGCAAGACATTGTAACATGACTGTTTTAGCGTTTAGTTTGATTACGAATGAATGCGTAATGGATTATTATGATCATAGTCAACCGAATCACGAAGAAGTTATTGATGTGGGAAAATTGAGACAATCTACGTTAAGAAGATTCGTCGAAGAGATTGTCGCTTATATAGCAAAAAATCGAATGAAATAAAAAATTTAAATGTGAAGAATGATATTATTAATAATAATTATTAGTTAGTCCTACTTATTTTTAAAGCTTTATGTTAAAATTATATTTTAATTTTTGTTTTAAGAATTTATTTATTATTATTTTAATTGAGTTAATAAATATTTCGTGTTAAAGTCCAATAACAATGGAATTTTTTTAACGATTATGTTCTTGTTGTTTTCTTCGCTTAATTATTTATCAATGAGTGCAGCGGAATTTTCCTAATCTTATTCAAATTAATTTGCCTCAAAATCTTATTTACAATCTGACAAATAGTAATTTTAGAACGCGTCGCCTTCGCTTCGCTTAAAGATCGTAATGCAGTGGGAAGATTATAAATTGAGCGTGCCGTTTGGACGGTCGTTAGACAAATTTACGTCAAAACTTTCCCTCGAACTTTTTTTTTGGATGCACTACGACGCGAGTTTACGCAGTGAATCATTTTGATTTTCACGGAAATTCTTGAAAACTAACATTATTTTTATTAGCTTATTTATAAAATAAATTTTGTAAACGCAACAACACACGGTGGTTATGGAGGTACCCTAAAATAAAGTCCATTTTGCCAAGCTGCAATAAAAACATACTTTATAAACGTAAACGTGCTCGCCGGTAATAAACCATGTGACTTTGATGAGTAATAAAATTCTACAATTATTATGTTACAATGGTTTGGTATTTTACGTAATGTATACAGGGTGTTCCGGTGACTCGGGGAATAAAANCAAAATGGAGAGTTACACATTTAGTGAACAAACTGACATGATTTTGACATTAGGGGAATGTCATGGAAACGCCGTAGCAGCCACTAACCGTTATTGGAAGAAACTTCCGAATCGCAGAGTGCTCAATCGAAAAACATTTTAAAGGACTGAAACCCGTTTAAGGGAAAATGGGACGTTTAAGCCGAAATTTAGTAAGTAACAGTAAAGTAAGATCAGTCCGAACACCCGAACTAGAAAAAGATATTCTAGACTACGTAGAAGAAAATACTACAGCTAGTACTTTGGATATGGCGAGGCACTTTTTAACTTCAAAAGCAACTGTCTGGAGTGTTCTTCACTAGCAACAACTTTATCCATTTCATTGTTATAAAGTTCGGGAAGTTCGACTGGCTGATTACCCACTGCGACTGCAATATTGCCAAACAATACAGCATAAAATCCAAATTGATGATCAGTTTTAAGAAAAAGTGCTTTTTACAGATGAATCCACTTTTTCTAAAGATGGAATCTTCAATTTGAGAAATTTACATAGTTGGGCGGACGAAAATCCAAGATTTAAGACATACATACAGGCGACATTTAGAAGAATTAGATGATTTTTTAGATGATGGTCCTTTAAACACAAGGCAAGCAATGTGGTATATGCATAATGGTGCTCCTGTGCATAGCACACAAGCTGTCCAAGAATTTCTGAGGGAACGTTTTCCGGGACGGTGGATTGGACTAGGAGTAGGTGCACCGATAAGTTGGCCCCCCGATCGCCGGATCTTACACCTGTAGATTTTTATTTATGGGGACGCGTTAAATCGCTAATTTACTGCGTTTAAATCAAATGATCGGAAACGAGTTGATCAACTGAGGTTGCGAATTGTTGATTCATCTGTACCAAATTTCAGCGCTCTACCATAAATGGTATTGAAAATATTTAAAAAAATGTGTTAAAATTTCTGAACTTTGATGGCCCATATCTTAGCCATTTGAAGACTTTTATAATTTTTTTTCACGAATCGTTATCATTTTTGCTCAAGTATATGAGGTTAATTTTATGCCGCGAGTCACCGGAACACCCTGTATACAGGGTGTCTCAGCGAGACCGGTCATAGGCGTTTCTGGGGTTCTGGCAAAAATAAAAATTTGAGAATTCAGACTTAAGTATTATCAATTACGATCTCTTCGTCTAAAATATTTTCAGATTTCTTGCACTTCCGGTTATACCGGAAGTCGCCACCAACTTTATTTTTTTAAATGGAACACCCTGTATATTTTTACATATTTGGATTTGTCTGTTTTCAAGGTTTATAAATAACTTTACTTTTTGCAATTTGATTCGGTCGTTCTCGAGTTATTCGAATTTTTCTAGAAAAATCTGCTCCAGCAGACATTTGTTCAAAAAATCAGAAAACACTCAATTTTTGGGATATCAATTTAGGATTGAGAACATGCTTAAGCAACATGATGGAGTATGTTTTGGTGCCGAGAACTGCGGTCTAGAACGTTTGATCACTTTACTATGGCACGTTAACTTTTCAAAATTTGGAAGTACCATAACTTCATTTTTTTAAATGGCACCCCCCATATTTTATTTTTTAGTCGTCTTCGGTGTCTCATTCTACATCTTTTATATCCCATATGGCCCATACCTAATATTAATAGTTTGGGAGATAATTAGGGTTTTTTGAAAAATGCACACATATCATATGGATATTTAGCCTAGTGTGCCATGAAAAACAAGCCTTCTCAATGAGTTCTTGTCAAAGACTCACTTGTTTACGTCACTTGATGCATGTGAGCTAATAATTATCTGTTATGTCCCTTAATATTAGTACTGAAACGAGTTAAAATCGATAACAATAACGAAAGTAATATTTACACAAATCAAGAAATTCTTAATTTATTTTTTTTGCATGAAAAGCGCGACAAAGTTCGTAGTATGATTCCCAGATCTTCTTTGGCAGCTCGAATTGAGGTGTTGGGACTGGGCTCGAAATAAGCCAAGGTATTCACCTCTTCCGTTGCATTATCTACTACATTTTTTGGTCAGTTTAACACGTGATTAATTCGTCCAAAATGCAAAAAATTTGCTTCTATTCCTCTAAATTTACCTTTTGTCATCGGAGATAAATGTGGATAATTTTCATTAAACATTCTGCAAGTTCTACTAAGAACTTTGTCGCACTTTTCGTGCACAAAAAATAAATTATGGATTTCTTCATTTGTATAAACATTATTTACGTTATTAATATCCATTTTAACTGGTTTTAGACTCACAAGCATCAAACAACCTAAATTAGACTTTGACGTTTATCAATAAGTCATTAAACATTTGTTTTCCATGGCACACTAGGTTAATATCGATATGATATGTGAGCATTTTTCAAAAAACCCTAATTATTGATACATTGATACAATATTGCCATATTCGATCAATGGTCTGGAATGGAAAAAGCAGACATGATCCAGTACATCACTTGTCACATTTGGGTGCACACAAAATGTGCTCAAGAAATATTATTTATTGCATTAACTGTATGTAATGGTCCAACTAGGGCATCCGATGGTTGAACCTGGGAAACTGATTGCCTTGATTGGACCAAAAACACAAATTTTCTAAACTATATTTTCAATATTAATAAATACACATGTTAAGCCGTGCGTCTGAAGACGCACCCGAAAATTTCTAGTTCTAGGACTAGTGTTAGTTCTAGTTTTAATTGTTATACAGCGTTAGATTGTTGGATGTTTTTATTGAACTAAAAGTAAAACTAATACTACTATCCGTGCAAAAAGTCGAGGCCCCTCACTTTAGAGATCGATATCTTTGTAATCGCTCGATGGAAAAAATTGCGGTAAAGTTTATTGTAATCAGTAAACATTTCTGCGTATCACATGTTAATTTCGAAATTTTTTGGTCCGTGGTTTTTCTTTTAACGCAAGTTAAGTGAAAAAAGTACCCGATTTTTGAGAGTGCCAGCAACTTGTCTACTTTGCGACATCATGCGACTTCAAATTTGAACTGGTGGTAAACCGATGTGTTCTTAATGTGGGGCATATTTTATTTTTTCGATATTCCATATAGTTTCGCAGAAAATCGCGGTTTAGTAGGATGTGGTTATTTCGAAAACGACCTGGCGGATTTCAACGCGGTTTTTACCAAAATATGTCAAATAATGTCGGTTGTCATATTCCGTTATCAGTTCTTCAAAATTAGGGCTCCCTAATTTTTTAAGAGCGACTTAATGGAATTACAAATGAAAGAGAAACAGAAATAAGCTATAAATCGCTCTTAAAAAATTAGGGAGCTCTAATTTTGAAAAACTAATAACGGAATCCGACAGCCGATATTATTTAACATATTTTGGTCAAATCCGCGAGGAAATTCTCCCAACCGTTTTCGACATAACGGCGTCTTACTAATCCTCGATTTTCCGCGAAACTGTATGGAATATCGAAAAAATAAAATATGCTACTCATTAAGAACACATCAGGCCACCACCTGTTCAAAATTAAATTTTTTCGTAGCATAGTTTTTGAGGAAAAAAATCGCAAAGTTTACAAAGTTGCCGGTACCGTAAAAAATCGGGTACTTTTTTCATTTAACTCGCTATAAATCTTATGAGACGTTCAGCTAAACCCGAATGTTGCTAGTTCTAGGTCTTGTGTTAGTTCTAGTTTTGCACTAGCACTATCACTAGAGCTAATACAAGACCTAGAACTAGAATCATTCGGCTTTAGCCGTCTTGAGAGACGTGCGGCTAAATCCGAATGTTTCTAGATCTAGATCGGCTGAAAACTCAGAATCATTTTTTCACCTTTTTCCAAGTAAAAAGTTTTCCCTTGCAAAACTACCCCATGCCTGTACAGGATGTCCCAAATTCATTGTCCGCAAAGGCTATATCATCATCATAGGCGATCATAGGCTATCGATTTCATAATAACTATCAAATAAGAATGCGACGTTAGCCGCGGAATTATATTTTACAAGGTATCCGGAAAGAAGATAACCACACGCAAAAACCTTCAGCCAATTAGAAGAAAATTTAATGGATTTTGTATCCTTCACGAAACCACGTGCAAAAATGTACACATTTTTTTGATGAAAACGATAATAGGACATAAAGGTTACAAGTATTGCCTACATGTTAGTATATTTATTAATATTGAAAATATAGTTTAGAAAATTTGTGTTTTTGGTCCAATCAAGACAATCAGTTTCCCAGGTTCAACCATCGGATGCCCTAGTTGGACCATTACATACAGTTAATGCAATAAATAATATTTCTTGATCACATTTTGTGTGCACCCAAATGTGACAAGTGATGCACTGGATCATGTCTGCTTCTTTTTTTTCCTCACACATATAAAAAAACCCATGTTGTCTTAGTTTGTCTTTTGTTTTTTTGTTCCAAATATTGTTTGCTTTTTCTTGTTTTGCTGCAGTTTTAAAGATTTTTCTTGCTTATTATTAATGTAGCTTTCTGGGTAATTCCTCTAACTCGAGAAGATGATGGTCCTGGCAGTGGATTCAGTTTTATAGGCGGTGACACTTCATGGAGAACTTCAAAATTTTCGATTGTTCTAGTTTGACATACATCAACAACAGTGTCATCGCTTTGATATCAATTTGATGATATTGGCTCAGACTCAGTACTTGGTTTAGGTGCAAATTGGCTATCTTGAAAGACATATCGATTAACAGGCAAAATACCAGTTGCTTTTCCATATGTTTCATTCAACAATTTACAAATCTGCATTTAGCTATTTTTGTCCCCTTTACATTGACGAAGAAAAGTTTCTTGTGCCTGAGTAAAATAAATTAGTAATGGGCCCAAGAAAGCAAAGTCTAAAGTGTGTCCAGGTAACTGTAATAATATTATTTCGTTATCTGAAGCGAAATAACATGCATCCAAATTTCTGCTGTGCATGGTATGTCCATCTAGTAATAAAAATTGACGTGATGCTCAAAATGTTTCAACGAGGTAACGAACAATTCGGAATTTATGTAGCCGGTATCTGAAATAGTAACAATACTTACTGGCGGTGTTCCAATTTTTAAATCGTTGTTGATTCTCTTTTTTTTTTAATTATCATTCGAAGGCCATAAACCCCAGCTGCACTAACCGTGCAGACCATAGTTGTATTAAGTCCGCGCTCACCACTCGTTATAGCCCCAACTTGTCATTTACCTATATTTTTATCTACAACTTTCTCCAAAATATCAAAAAATTGCTAAACATTTTCTCGATTGAATCCTTTTGTCCTTGCTATAGAAGTTCCTTCCTGCTTGCGTAAGGAACGCATAAAACCATTTCTTCCAGGCAGTAGTAGTGGCAATAAGTATTTTTCAGCGACATGAAAAGCCATTTTTCTTATTTCCTACATAGTTAATCCAAAAAGACATTCTTCAATTTTCGGAATGAGTTCAGTAAGAAGCTTTTCCATTTCGACAGAAAATGTAGGTAGTCTGCCAAGTCTTTTCATTTCATTCACATTTGAATTTTTTCCGCATTAACTCGTTCAAACCAAAGTCCCCATTTTTATAAGCTTAAAAAAAAAAGCTTGTCTAAAATCCGGATAAAATCAAAAATGAATAACGATGCAGGGCGGCGCTAGCATTTTTATGGACGCAAATTTTGAATTTAGTTTTTTAACTTTTTTGAAAAATACTTCTCTTAAAATGTATGTATTAATATTTAGCTCGTTGGTGCCCGTTCCTAGTATCGCTCTCTGGTGAATTTAGGTTACTTAGATTGGACCAGTCCAATTTGAACCACCACCATGTGGTCCAAACTAACTAACTCTAATATAATTTAGTTTATGTTTTATATTAATTCGTATAGAACTAATAGCAATAAGATTATTTCACATAACTAAAGAAGAATAAATTCTCTGTCCAATTGTATAATAATTAAATCGAACACTTACTTTTCAACTCCCTCAACACGCTATGGAAGAGACGTAAATTTCTACAACGACTTGCTTGTAAGCACAAAATTGCCATTGCTCGCTTTGTTCCCGATATCATGTTCTACAAGGACTACGTAACATAAGTTGTCTATATTAAGAATACAATACTTTATAGTTTTCAAGCTACAATGGTGGTCCAATCAAGGCAACGGTCCAACTTCAGCTATTTTCCCCTATGTCTCAAACGATATATTTTCAACATAAAAGAGCACCAGCACATAATGCCTGAGTTATTAGTGAATTTTTGAATACAAAGTTTGGCAATAATTGGAAACATTGTTTTCCATCATAGTATGGTTATTGTCATAGCAACATTAACTTTTAAATAAATGCAATAGTTTTAGACAGAACAAAAAGAATTCTTACTAACCATTCAATAACTATAACAAATATACGAAATATAAATATAAACATAAAAAAATATATGTTTTTGCCGATAGGGCGACCAAGACAATCGACGAATCACTTAAAGATCCAGAGCTAATAAATGATTATTTCGCTAATATTATTCCTTCACCTTTTTTGTCGTTGCACAACCTTGATTCTAATAAACCATATATTTTGGGTGGCAACGACTGTTTTGGTTTCGATGTCGTGAACGACACAGACATCAAAAATAAGCTTAGCACGATAAAATCAAATGCTTGTGGTTTGGATGCAATCGATCTGAAAATGATAAAACTTGTATTGGAGTACTGCCTCCAAGAAATCACTCACATAATGAACTTCTCACTAATATACGGAGTTTATCCGAAACAATGGAAGATCGCTCTAGTAACACCTCTACCTAAAGTGAGCCATGCTACGTCACTAGGAGACCTACGACCGATTAGTGTGTTACCTATCTTATCTAAAATATTAGAGAAGATTGTTGCTTCACAGCTAGTACATCACCTGAATCATACTAATTTACTCCCACGATGCCAATCTGGATTTCGGGAGAAGTATAGCACAACGACCGCGTTAACTAAAATTGTGAACGATTGGTGCTGTGCCATTGATGCCTCAAGAGTTACCTTCGTTGTATTCCTGGACTTTAGTAAGGCTTTTGATATCATCAATCATCAGCTTCTAATAGCCAAGCTAGTCCGTTATGGATGTAAAGAAGACGTTGTACATTGGTTCCAGTCATATCTTGTGAACAGATCTCAACATACAAAGATTAATGGTAATATATCTAGCGGTATCCTAGTCAAGCAAGGTGTTCCACAGGGAAGTGTTTTGGGTCCTATATTATTCAACTTATTTACGGCAGACATGCCAAATGTAGTGACGAGCTGTTCGGTTCATCAATACGCGGATGNAGGAATAGAAGCAAATTTTTTGCATTTTGGACGAATTAATCACGTGTTAAACTGACCAAAAAATGTAGTAGATAATGCAACGGAAGAGGTGAATACCTTGGCTTATTTCGAGCCCAGTCCCAACACCTCAATTCGAGCTGCCAAAGAAGATCTGGGAATCATACTACGAACTTTGTCGCGCTTTTCATGCAAAAAAAATAAATTAAGAATTTCTTTACTTTCGTTATTATTATCGATTTTAACTCGTTTCAGTACTAATATTAAGGGACATAACAGATAATTATTAGCTCACATGCATCAAGTGACGTAAAAAAGTGAGTCTTTGACAAGAACTCATTGAGAAGATTTGTTTTTCATGGCACACTAGGCTAAATATCCATATGATATGTGTGCATTTTTCAAAAAACCCTAATTATCTCCCAAACTATTAATATTAGGTATGGGCCATATGCAATATAAAAGATGTAGAATGAGACACCGAAGACGACTAAAAAATAAAATATTTATATAGCCATTTAAAAAAATGAAGTTGTGGTACTTCCAAATTTTGAAAAGTTAGCGTGCCATAGTAAAGTGATCAAACGTTCTAGACCGCAGTTCTAGGCACCAAAACATACTCCATCATGTTGCTTAAGCATGTTCTCAATCCTAAATTGATATCCCAAAAATTGAGTGTTTTCTGATTTTTTGAATAAATGTCTGCTGGAGCAGATTTTTCTAGAAAAATTTGAATAACTCGAGAACGACCGAATCAAATTGTAAAAAGTAAAGTTATTTATAAACCTTGAAAACAGACAAATCCAAATATGTAAAAATATACAGGGTGTTCCATTTAAAAAAATAAATTTGGTGGCGACTTCCGGTATAACCGGAAGTGCAAGAAATCTGAAAATATTTTAGACGAAGAGATCGTAATTGATAATACTTAAGTCTGAATTCTCAAATTTTTATTGAGACAGCCTGTATATGACCTTTTAAAATCGTTTACTTAAAGAATCTAAAAAAATTAAACTTTGCTCCAGTTTGAGCAAAATTTTATGTAACATTTGCTCCAGTAAGAGTTAAAAAATTTGTATAAATCGTCGATTTCTTAGTATTACAGTTGCCTTAATATTTATAACTTTTGATCATACTGGTACACTATTTGGCACAACTTTTACTTTTATAACAATGTTTTTGGCATCAAACTGTTTTGATAATCACGTTATTATTCTTACAAAGCAAACAATGTGCGTGAGTCATCGTTGCATTTGTTTTGAATATGTTCCTCTTAATCACACTATCATTTAAAACTAGTGAAAATTAAGTTTTAATTAATCATCGTTTTTTAGAAAATTACAACACACTTGTACATAACAAGCATATTAATTGAGGGCACCTTTTAAGAGATGTCGCCGTTGTATAAATAAAAATAAATTGTAGTGACTTTCAATTACCCCCTAATAGATGGCGTTTTAAAAATCTTTTAGTAATAAAAGGTATCAAAGGCGCCGTCGCAACACGAAACACAAAAGACAACGTCGAAACCCCATCGGGAGCCACCACCGCTGCCGCCGCCGCCGCCGCCGCCGTAACCATGGTAACGTCGAGGGTTCGCTGCGCCGCGGCGCGGGTCCTAGTCAACTTCCCCAGCGGAGAAACAAGCAGCAGCCAGCACCAGTAGTAGTTAGTAGTAGACGGCAGCAGCCGACGTGGATCGGTCACGTTGTTGTCGCTGACGACGACGACGACGACAACGACGACGTGTTTCGCGTTATTATGTCAACGTTGTGTTAAACAACAACAATGTCCGGAGGATCGGAAAGAATGGTCGAAGGGGGTGCAACAACAACTAACACCAACACCCCGGTGACAACATCTCCGTCGTCTTATTACGGACGTTCCGGCGTCTTGGAGACCCACGTCCGCGGCCAATGGTACAGAGTTTTCGTAACCTTAGAAGATGATTATCTAAGTATAACGTTAGACGAATCCTGTGAAAACGCCACGACTCTTAACGGCACGCTAAATAATAACGTGGAAACGCCGAGCGGCGGCTGCGGAGATCCTCCTGACGTTCCAGACGCCGTCGCGAATCAAAAACGCGTCGTCAGGGTGGTCAAATCGGATAATAACGGTTTGGGGATTTCGATTAAGGGTGGTCGCGAAAATAAGATGCCCATTTTGATTAGTAAGATTTTCAAGGGGATGGCCGCCGATCAAACCGAACAACTTTACGTTGGAGATGCGATTCTTTCGGTAAACGGAGAGGATCTCAGGGAGGCCACTCACGACGAAGCCGTTAAAGCTCTTAAAAGAGCCGGGAAAGTTGTGGAACTTGAAGGTATGTTGGAATTTTAATACAATTTTTGAATGTAAATGATACGATCGTAACGTTTTTTGTACTTCAATAAAACGAATTTCAAAAATAAACCTCGATGGGAAATATTTTATGAAATACTTGAGATTAATCGCTGTAACAAATGTTCCCTCAAAAACATGAATCTCGTTTTTGATGTTACGTAGTGGCAATTACCTCTCTTCGTTTCGCGTTCTCAATTGCGTGTTGAAAACGGTTTTAAATTGCGTGCGTTCTTCTGTTACACGTACTATTACTAATCGGAAACTACAAACAAGTCACTTTTTATTTTACTTTCTTACATTTTACCTTTTCTTTAAATCGCTCGTACCTAAAAGATTTTCATTTTAGTTTATTTATTTATTTTGTTTTATTCTATTTTTACGTCGTCGTAATTAAATCGCTAATTTTAAATTCCAATCAGTTTAACAATTATAATTACAAATTAACGATCCGGGTCATGAATAAAACCGATAGCGATGGACGTGGGTATTGATTAAAATTTGTCCGAACCTTGACGTTTAATTGCATCAAACGCCCAACATGTTCTAAAATTTCATTCAAATCTTTTTTATGTAACAACATTTTACACCCTCTACATTTTTAAATTGGATTTTATAATAAATCTTTCAAACGTTCGTATCGCGTCGTTAGTAAAACCGTTTTCGTTAAAACCCGATCGATAAATTTATGTATACTATGTATGTATATGTTATACAAGATGCTCAAGTCGAGTGACTTTGATCAAAGATTCTCGGTGGTCTTAGTTAATGAGATTGAACGTTTAATGTTTTCCGTGTTAATATTTATATAGTTCTAATAGGATTTAAAATAATTACAGGAAATGCAATCATTTTAAATCATAAAAAAAATGATAAATTATTTATAGCGCACTGCAATATACCTTATTTCATCTCAATATCTCATTTCATTCTTAAAATATGATTCTTTGAAATCCTTGTTATCTCTAACAATTAAATATACAGAGTTTAAAAAATCTTTACAACAATATTTATACACAACAAATTATTTATGGTATATTAAATTTGCTTTAAAATGCTTGCTATTTCATTGTTGTATCTCAACCTATTCTCAACATATGATTTTTTTAAATTCTATATTTCAAATCTACAATAATCAAACATACAGAGGTAGTTTTAAAACATCATAACAACGATGTTTATGGAATATAAGACATTATTTATGGCACACTCAATCTTTATGAAATTAAGTTTAAAATGTTCTTTATTTCATTGTTAAATCTGCATTCGTTCTTGAGATACGACTTTTTAAAATTCTATATTTCAAATTTATAACAAACATACAAAGGTGGGTTTAAAACATCATAACAACGATGTTTATGGAATATAAGACATTATTTATGGCACACTCAATCTTTATGAAATTAAGTTTAAAATGTTCTTTATTTCATTGTTAAATCTGCATTCGTTCTTGAGATACGACTTTTTAAAATTCTATATTTCAAATTTATAACAAACATACAAAGGTGGGTTTAAAACATCATAACAACGATGTTTATGGAATATAAGACATTATTTATGGCACACTCAATCTTTATGAAATTAAGTTTAAAATGTTCTTTAGTTTATTGTTAAATCTTCATTCGTTTTTGAGATACGACTTTTTAAAATTCTATATTTCAAATTTATAACAAACATACAATGGTGGGTTTAAAACATCATAACAACGATGTTTATGGAATATAAGAAATTGTTTATGGCACACTGAATCTTCATGAAATTATGTTTAAAATGTTCTTTATTTCATTGTTAAATCTGCATTCATTCTTGAGATACGACTTTTTAAAATTCTATATTTCAAATTTATAACAGTCAAACAACGATGTTTACGGAAAATAAGAAATTATTTATGTCACACTCAATCTTCAGCAAATTAGTTTTAATATGCTTGTTATTTTATCTCGATATCTCAATTCGTTATTGAGATATGATTTTTGAATTTCCATAAAGATCGCAATTTTATGTTATTATTTTCAAAAAATCATTATGAAATAATATCATTGCAAATCTTTGAGACGTTTTTACCATATACCAAAAAAAATGTTATCTGTTGAACGAAAAAGTTTGTTTTTAAGTAGAGCTTTTAGTTTTCCCGAAAATAATTTTTAATTCCAACTCATATACCTACCACTTTACAAAATTAACATATTAAACTAAAACTAGACCTAGGAACTGTCTAGTTTCTACTAAAATTGTCTGTTAAGCCGTCCGATCTTTTGAAAAAATTTGATTAATATTGATTTTGAAGAAATGTCTTCAGAAACAATTTCGATGTGACGAAATCGGTTGAAAATTGACAATAAATACATGAAAAGATAATTAATAACTAATTAATGCCTAATTGTTAACTAACTTGTTTTTGTCAAATTCGGGTGAGAAATAAATATTATTATTATGCATTTCATGTGGGGCTGAGTTGCCAACCGTCTTCTCTATTTATGTTATTCCCAGTCGATGAATTTCTATCGCCTCTCTCGTCAATCTTTGGAAGTAATGTCCGTTTCTTGCTAACACTATGGTTTTGTCAAACTCTATGGTGTGTCCTCCTTTGTGGAAATGCTCTGCGACTGCAGATTGTTGGATTTTACTCAGTCGGACATCNAATATACTTTCAAATGTACCTTATTTCATCTCAATATCTCATTTCGTTCTTAAAATATAATTCTTTGAAATCCTTGTTATCTCTAATAATCAAATATACAGAGTTTAAAAAATCTTTACAACAATATTTACACACAACAAATTATTTATGGTATTTTAAATTTGCTTTAAAATTAAATTTCATTGTTGTATCTCAATAGGTAGTTTTAAAACATCATAACAACGATGTTTATGGAATATAAGAAATTATCTATAATCTTCATGAAATTATGTTTATAATGTTCTTTATTTCATTGCTAAATATTCATTCGTTCTTGAAATACGACTTTTTAAAATTCTATATTTTAAATTTATAACAAACATACAAAGGTGGGTCTAAAACATCATAACAACGATGTTTATGGAATATAAGAAATTGTTTATGGCACACTCAATCTTCATGAAATTATGTTTAAAATGTTCTTTATTTTATTGTTAAATCTTCATTCGTTTTTGAGATACGACTTTTTAAAATTCTATATTTCAAATTTATAACAAACATACAAAGGTGGGTTTAAAACATCATAACAACGATGTTTATGGAATATAAGACATTATTTATGGCACACTCAATCTTTATGAAATTAAGTTTAAAATGTTCTTTAGTTTATTGTTAAATCTTCATTCGTTTTTGAGATACGACTTTTTAAAATTCTATATTTCAAATTTATAACAAACATACAATGGTGGGTTTAAAACATCATAACAACGATGTTTATGGAATATAAGAAATTGTTTATGGCACACTGAATCTTCATGAAATTATGTTTAAAATGTTCTTTATTTCATTGTTAAATCTGCATTCATTCTTGAGATACGACTTTTTAAAATTCTATATTTCAAATTTATAACAGTCAAACAACGATGTTTACGGAAAATAAGAAATTATTTATGTCACACTCAATCTTCAGCAAATTAGTTTTAATATGCTTGTTATTTTATCTCGATATCTCAATTCGTTATTGAGATATGATTTTTGAATTTCCATAAAGATCGCAATTTTATGTTATTATTTTCAAAAAATCATTATGAAATAATATCATTGCAAATCTTTGAGACGTTTTTACCATATACCAAAAAAAATGTTATCTGTTGAACGAAAAAGTTTGTTTTTAAGTAGAGCTTTTAGTTTTCCCGAAAATAATTTTTAATTCCAACTCATATACCTACCACTTTACAAAATTAACATATTAAACTAAAACTAGACCTAGGAACTGTCTAGTTTCTACTAAAATTGTCTGTTAAGCCGTCCGATCTTTTGAAAAAATTTGATTAATATTGATTTTGAAGAAATGTCTTCAGAAACAATTTCGATGTGACGAAATCGGTTGAAAATTGACAATAAATACATGAAAAGATAATTAATAACTAATTAATGCCTAATTGTTAACTAACTTGTTTTTGTCAAATTCGGGTGAGAAATAAATATTATTATTATGCATTTCATGTGGGGCTGAGTTGCCAACCGTCTTCTCTATTTATGTTATTCCCAGTCGATGAATTTCTATCGCCTCTCTCGTCAATCTTTGGAAGTAATGTCCGTTTCTTGCTAACACTATGGTTTTGTCAAACTCTATGGTGTGTCCTCCTTTGTGGAAATGCTCTGCGACTGCAGATTGTTGGATTTTACTCAGTCGGACATCCCTCTTGTGTTCGATGTTACATCCAGTTTGGCCGATCAACCGTCCCATTAACAGAGGAGGAAACTAATATACTCGCCAAAGACTTAAATTATGCAGTCGCTCCAAAGAGGGTTCCCAAAGAAGAAATTATATGTGAAGTGGAAGCGGCTATTCGCAGAACGCCTGCAGTGAAAGCAGAAGAAATTTGTCAAGACATAATGAAAGTGCTAAAAACAGTAATGCCACCAAAATCAAAGAAAAAAAATAACAGTGAACGAAACAAGAGCACTACGTCAACGGATAAGAGGAATGCGATCGTGGTTATGGACAGAAATGAATGCGACGACAAGATCACGAGCCTTTTTGACCCAGCCACCTATAAGAAGATAAAACAGGACCCAACCGAGACGATATTAAGGAAGATGAAAGAACTGGTAAAATCTACAACAATTCATACAAACCCTAGTACCTCCAAGGATATATGGATTACCTAAAATCCATAAACCAGAAGTTCCTACGCCCTATTGTCAGTGTCATAAATTCTCCCACCTATTAGCTAGAAAAACACCTTTCCCAGATTTTGTCTCCTTTTACAGGTAAAGCAGAGTCTTATGATATGTCAGAGATTCCACGTATTTTGTAGAATCATTCAGGATTATGTAGCTAGAGCCTCAGGATATCC